ATTTATAAATAGCTTTCAAAAAATTCCAAAAATAAAATTTTAAATTAAATTATTTGACAATAAACTGACAAATAATACTTGAATAGAATACAATATATTCAAACAAAATATGAATATTTGTTGCCATAGCAAAATAATGCTAAAATTTTCTTTTTTACAATTAAATAGTCAATTTTACTTTAATTAAATAAAATCTGTTTTAAATGTTCAGGATAAAAAATTTGAATGATCAGTGGAAAATAATTATTTAAACGCGAACGAAAAAATTAAATATAAATAAAATCAATTAAATATTATGGAATCTCTAGATTATAAGAATTAGATACATTTAGATTTCCATCACGTCTTTTAAAATAAAAATTCTGACAATAAAATTTATGTAAATTTTATTTAAATTGAATTAAGTATAAATTACTATTAAATTAAATTTTTTTTGCAATATTTTATTAATGAATATTGTGAGTATAAGTCAATACCATCATCATGATTTTATTTTTTAAATACAATATGGTCATATTAAAACAATTACATGCTTAATTATTTTATCACCAGATAGAAAAATGAAAAAATTACATTTGTTTTATATCTGGATTGCCAATATCGTTTATAAATTTCCAAGTATAGTTCGTTCATGGATACGAAGAGTATCTACTCGTTTAGACCACTTGTTACAAACTTTAAACATATAAACTCTTTGAACTGCATCATAAACCATCAGTTGATGCCTACGCTACATTTTGCTTTCCTCCGCTTATCTGCAGGAAATCTGAACAATCGAACGTCGGTAGACTTACTTTCACAATTAGGTGCAACACAATAACCCATTGCTTAACGTTTTGAGTACGTATATAAGTAATAATAGTCGACTCATGCAAAAACCACGTATGGCGAGCTCTATCGATGAGTCCCAAAATGGCCGCTGCCGCATAGAATCACGGGAGCGTGTCCTGACCTTCTTATACAGACCTTGGTTGGCGACACACTGCACTACTGGATCTATGTAGCAATGCAACACTGATCGTGATGGCGTACACAAAACTAACTTGTTCAATATATTATTAAAAATTTTTTTTTTAACTTTGCAAAATAAAGGACAAAATTCCTATTTTAGAAAATAAATAAAGTTAAAGGATAGAGCAGTGAAATAACGGACTGTCCTCTTAAATAAAGGACGTATGGTCACTGTAACTATAGTACACTGATATATCACGTGAGCGGACAGCACCGAGAAATGCCACGTGACACTCTTCATGCGCATTGTGCCGCTCCACGACGAAAACAAGCTTAGCAATGGCGGCTACCACAGTGCAGAGTCAGTAAGTAATCCGATGAATTTTTGCTTATAGCTCTTATTACACGCGTCGCCTTCAAATATTTCTGTGTGTTTAGGACACATCTATTAGAGAGGTGTGTTAAGAGAGCAAAATTAGAAAAAAATGTCCCATGTAGTAAGGATGGACTTTACAAAAATGTAGCTAATCTAACGAAAACGAAACGAACCTAACCGAAGCGCCGCCATTTTGGTTAATTAAGATAAATTTAACCGAAAACTCTACACCCTCAGAAAGTAATTACGATTTACTTATTAAAAAAATAATATAACAAGTGATAAGTTTTTATTATGTTTATGCTTTTACATATTTTATAGAAGTTCCCAAACAAAGTTAGCCAGTTTTATTAATTTAAAACGCAAAGCGCCTCGAAAAATGCGCTGTGCCTTAATAAAAAAAAAAAAACTTTTTCTCGGCTACTAATTAAAATGTTTTGTACGATTTTACACCATTTAACTTCTATAAGATAGAATAGACACGCTATTTTATCTCCTTTGCAATATAGTATTACTGTTAAACTCGAAAGTATTCGCGTTGAGTTATTAATGGAACAAACAGACACCTCTGAACTTGAGCACGAAGTGATTCACAAGTTTGTTCTTCTATTTTCATACAAAGAGTAGCACTAACAAGTAAGTACGCGCTTTCTCCGACCAGCTGTCACTTATTAGTCTATGGTTCCAAGTAGAGTTGCCAACTCAAAAAAATAAAATAAAAGTAGCTAAAAGCAAACAAAAAAAACTCTCTAAAAATAGCTAAAAAAATTTTCAAAATTCTCTAAAAGATAGCTAAACAAAAATAAAAACCAATCTTTAATTAATCTATTTTTAACTTTATTCAAAAAGTCCATTCGTCGATAAGTTCCATTTCTTCTTCAATTTCTTCATTGTGTTTTGTTTTACTCTTTCCGCCCCGTGGGCACTAAGAGGGCCTCTTATAGCAAGCCCATTATGGGTTCGGCCAGGCCCAGAATGGGGTGACGGGTGGTGAGGGACGGGCCTGACATATCCGAACGAACCACCCCCCCGAAAAATTCCTGGGGATTCCTTGACCCGTTCGGATTCGAGCCCGGGTCCCCTAGAGCAGTAGGCTGCCACCTTGACCGCGCGGCCATCCGGCCTCCATTGTGTTCAAAAGATGGTCCTGCTTCAAACTCTAAATTTTGGTATGATTTTATAGTGCCTGTTTTTCGAATGACATTTGCTGGCAATTTATAATCATAGCTGCACTTCCCTAATCTTTTCAAACCATATCTAATCATTAATATGTGTGAGAATACGGGCGAGGGAACAGAGGCCTCTAATCGTCGAGTTGGTAAAACTCTTCCTCTTTGTCTTTGGGGTGGCTTTTTTTCGAGTGGCGAGGGGGTTGAGAAAGTCGACGGGTGTCCGTGCGAGCAATGATAGACAGGTTCACAGGTTAAACAAAGAAGGAGTTTATTATACTGTATAACTAAAGTTAATTTACAGGAGTACTGTACACATAAGTAAGTTACTGATTAATGGTTAGATGCGGATAACACATAAATCTATCTATAACGGCGATCTAACTAGTAACCTTGTCGCGTGCTTAACTTCTACTAGAGTGAGAGAGTTTACAAAGGTTGATTAATTTGGACAGCCGGATGGCCGAGCGGTCAAGGTGGCAATCTACCGCTCTGGGGGACCCGGAATCGAATCTGACGGGTCGAAAAGCCCCAGGAATTGGGCGGCTGGGTCCGTCCGGATATGTCAAACCCAGCCGTCCCATTGTGGGCCTGGACGAACCCATAAAAGCTTGCTAAAAGAGGCCCTCTTAGTTCCCACAGGGCGGAAAGAGTTAAAAAAACATGTTACCGTTCTATTTTCAAGAGAAATTGTTGCTATGTAATGTGTTTTACATAAAAAGTGGCCATAATTTTTTTATTTGCACTTCTTGTTCGTCTAATTTTTTTTTTAAGGTGGCGCCCTACCACTCCGGGATTCGGGCGAAAAAATCGGCCGAATTTACCAAATATACGTTTTTATTCATAATGGCAAAACATTTAAATTTCGAATAGGATAATAAATATTAAATTAATAAAAACAAGTATGAAAATGAAAAAAAATAATAATAATTTTAATTTCGCAATATTGTTTCGAACACAAACGAAGCTCGTGCAGGTGACGCAATCGTCGTCACGGTCATTTCGGACTGTTCTAGAAAATTTCGAAGACGCAATCGGAACGAATATGTAAATCGACTTATATTTTTCTTTCCTAATTTGCATGTAGATTAAGTTACGTGTAGTTAAATGTTGTTTTAACCATTAAAAACCATTCTCGGGAGGTTAAGGTAGAAGGGCAGCTTTATTCTTAGTATTGTGTTGTACGGGTCAATAAAGTTCAAAATAGTTTTTGTTATTGTTCATCGGCGACAATAGTTAAATGTGCGTTCAATTTATCTCCTTTCATTAATTGTTTTCTAAATTATATTAAAGCTCAATGTAAAATCAACTTCTTAAGATATGTAATTTTTTTTTACTCTATTTTCTAGAAGGGGTCGTCCACAAATGACGTCATGCTATTTTTGGTGAATTTTAACTCTCCCTCTCCCCCACGTCACGTTTTTCAAATTCCCCTTTAAAATGACGTCACGAGTTGCATTCCCTCAGTTTTTCTTTTTTAAAAAAAGAACAATTGGAATGGAATTCAGTTTTAAGTGCAAATATCAAGTAGCTTACTCCAAATTTTTTATGCCCCTGTGTACTAGTTAAATGTTCTTTTATTGAAACTATACCGAGAGATGCTACGTTGATTTTCGTGCGAGTGTGTTTGGGGAGGTTTTCTGTCTCGATAAATTCTTTGTCGATCCGTTCGGCAGAGTCGCATACGATCTTTGCTCTTCGTCTTCTTGCCGCAGCCTGTGCTGGTTGTCGTTTTCAACCCCTGCTCGCCTCGAGAATTTGCATTATGCTGTCGAGAATGGCAGTCGTGCTAGACTTTTTGAGGAAGTATGATGTAATCCACGGTTGGCTTGTGTCCGATTTGTGGTAAATAATGTTAATGTGCTATTAGGCTGCTGTTGCTACACCACAACTGACACCAGTTCTATGGAAAGAAAAGTTCTTTCTTCCAAACTTCCCAAGTTCTTTCTACCAGATTTGTTTAATCCAAATTTTAATTAAAAAAATGCTAAAATGAAAATTAATGAATTTTCCAAAACTGGACATTCCTCCCTAAGTAGAGGGAACATTTGTTTAATTTGATAACACTATATTGGATGACAAAAATCTAGTAGGATGGTTGATTTTAAAAATAAAAATTGGGATTGACAATAGGAATGGTACAATTCCAAAACTTATGAAATAAGGTATTTTGGTACTATTCCGTTAACTGGGCATGTCAATCGATCAAATCTGATTCATGTTTGCATCCTAATATTTGCTTTCTTTTAGTTTTAATCATATGTAAAGATTATTTGAATGAAAATTTACCTTTTCCTTTAAGTTTGTATAAAAGTTATAAAAGTTGATTTTGAATTTAAATAATGATTGTTGATACACATTTGATATCGAAAATGATTAGCATAATTTTGCATTGGTATAATTAGAAAAGTTAAATTTCAACTACTAGTTGTATATTTTACATATAACTTGTTATTTTATGTTATTTGGTTGTATATTTGAAATTAGAATAATATTAAAAGTTAATGGAATAGTACCAATATTTTATGTACAACTTGTGCTAATCAAATTTTTTCCCAAACAATTCTGGCATTTTTATTCCCATGCAAATGTTCATAGTTAGTGGTGCCTCTGGGGGTTTTGCAATATTGATACTGAGAGTTGCAGAATAAAAGAGCAATGCATGTGCAATATTATTGTACAAGAGCCACCTGTAATCCAAATTATATATTTAGTAAGCAGTGACATTACGCTGCTCTAAACACCCTCTTCCTTCCTTGTCACAACTATCACATTTCTTAAACTCCCCCTCACCTTTGGAGTGTGGCATTATGTACAGACAACCCCGAATAGTTACCAGAATATAAATTAAATCTTAATTTCAGTTTAAGTATGTTGATTTTAAAAGTAATTTTTTAAACAAAATTACAATTTCTTATATATAGAACTTTAATTTGATGATAAATTAAACTATTTGATTAAAAAATCTATTATTGTGCCATAAAAGTGTATATATCTTCTAATTCTTGAGAGGAAGAGTAAAATTCATGAAGAGACATCTCTAAATACATCACATATAAAAACAATTATTTACAATTAACTACAAGTAAGAAGTCTTTTTTCTTAGCCATAACTTCAGAACTGTCACTGAGAGTTGCAGTATCCTTTCAGAATATAGCTGGCAACCTTATTGGAGTTTTTTCAGACATTACAAATGAATAACCCAATTGGCTGAATGATTTCTAAAAGAGGAGAGTAGTGGCAAAGAAAGAAAATTTGCTGATGCTTGTTTAGGCAGCATTCAGAAATAGATGATTGTCATCTTTACAAAGCATTTAAACCACGGTTCAGCCAGCCAACATCTAGATGGGCTGCATTTCTTTATGTAGAGAGTGTAGCAAAAATGACATCACGAGCAGCTATCGCTATACATTGCTGCATCATAGTTTAGAAACATTTTTTTGCTCAAGCAAAACATGGATCCTATAATCTATCCTTTAATTCCAGTTACAGCCAAAAGTAGTGCTTTAGTTAAAGAACTACAATATTTAAATAAAGAGATATAAAGAATGTGATCACATTTATCTTTCCATAAATGTGAACAAAGTAAAGAGATAGAAGATATATAATTATATTTAAAATATAGTATTTTCTTATTTTTTAGATAACTTTCAGAGTCATTTTATAAAATTTAATCCTTCTTAATCTTTCCATAATATTTTTATCAACAGTCACTTCGACTTNAGTATAAACGCGCGCCATCTATCGTAGGATAAATGTACTATGCCAGAAACCTTCGCGGGAGTGTATTAAACAACTTCCCAAAGTTACATGGTAATTGGATAAACGGTGTGGTAATGCATGAAGGACGAACAGACAGACATTCATTTATATATATATAGATAATCCAATGAAGGAAATCATTATTTACAGAAACAGCATTGAAAAACTAAGGTTTTTGATCAGCAAAGCTGACTAATGTTGTTATGAAGTAACGTGGGGAAAATAATTTGTCAGTAAATTTTTACTTTTGTTTTAAATAATATATAATTATTATATTTTCGTGTCAACTATTTCTGTTATTGCAAACGTGTGTGTAGGGATTGTGGAAGTGATGTCACGCTTGACATGTTCCCACCGGTCAGGGAAATTTCACTCCCTACACTCTTGTCGTGGTTATGTGAAGTTCCGGAAGTGGGTTGAAATTCGTGCACAGGAAATGTTTTAATTTCGTAAGGAAAAAAATTTTTATAATTATTTTATATTGTAAAAAGAAACCATCAAATGCAAAATGAATATTTTATGTCCATATAAAGTCATATCTGTAGAAATTTCTGAGAAAAAATAAATTTCTCAAAAAGAAACAATAGGTGAATTTGAGTACTTAGATCGAACATCTTCGATAGGAATCAAATTGTGAGTCGGGGGGGACTCACCCCGCGATCTGGCCTCCGATCCCGTTACAATTCGTAACGAGGAGGGGAGACCAATTAGAGAGCGGGGGCAGATTGGCATCGACCTATCAGAATGTTCGATCCGGGACCCAGAAAAAACTTATAA